AAAGGAATTAGGCATACAATCTGTGACTATTATACGTAATACAGTATATTGAAAGAGTCAATCCAAGCACCATTGCTGTTACTGTTTATTGTAGTAAGCGCGCAAGAGAGCTCTGGTGCAAACGGTTTCAAGCAATTTGACAAAATAATGTAGGTTTAACCTGCACTTAAAGGAAACTCCCTCCCCCTTTCAGATTTAGAAAACATACCAAGAAAATTCTGCTACAACAATCCCCATGAACAATATTTACACTACCATTAATATATAACTGTTTAACATCCTTTCCATCTCCTCGCTTATATTTCCCTTCACTATCTTTACTCCACTTGTGCCTCTTTAATTGTGCCACCCTCCCCATCTCTCTCCACCCCTACCCATCTCCTAACCAACTGTCTCTTCCACACTCCTCACTTGTACCTTTTAACACCATATCTCATGCTCATATGCCTCTTTCCTCCATGCATGCCTCTCTATCCCATCTCTAACCCAATTGTGCTTCTTTACCCATCTTTACCTTCTTTTGTCTTCTTTGCATATCAACCCCTTCCCACATGAGTCTCCCTGTGACATGTGCCACATTCCTGCCTGCCCATTTCTATTCCTACAGCCAGGTAAAGGGGAGGAATGAATGGACTCTACCATTTTACATTAGCATTCCAAAGATTAACAAAGATTGCTATAGCAGTTTTAAATATCTTTATTTTATAAATATGTTATAAATGCATTTATATTATGTGGATATTATGCTCGTTATTTTTACATTCTGATTAAATTTTTTTAAGCCGTACTGCTAGTAATACTTTCAGGGTCCTTATAAATACCTCAAGCAAGGTATTTAAAATGTTCCATTCACTGTGTCACATATACTATATGCAGAACAATACAATTTTTGCTTTCACACATTTCAGACCCTGTTAAAATATTGCAAGATATGGGACATAGAACACTGTCCAAAGCTTTTCATTTTCCAAATTTTTTTTATTAAGGCTGAGCAATAGAAAAATAACATTGTGTAAGTTTACATAAATAAAATTTGTAGATTTGTCTACAAAGAAATACATAAACACAGTTGATGTTTATGTACTGGCTATGCATCCCTTACTTCAAATAAGTGTTTAGATAGTATTTTTTTCATTCAAAAAGTGCTTGAAGTGGCCCGAGCATCAAGTGGCGCGGGCGCTGTAGGCGGCAGGCATGGTTGGGCAAGTGCCTACTCCCGGTGCCCCCTGTCTATAAAGACAATGCACGCAAGACCGAGATCCACATTACTTACTGGCATTAACTTCCATCTCCAGTTTAACTTTTACTCTCGATTTAACTTATCTCTTTCCCGCTTCTTCTCCAACCTCGACTGGCACTCGGCCAGGAATCCCCTCCCTGAGGTGGTAAATGAACTCCCGCATCGATGTATAGACCCTTAAATGTCACTCACTAGTATTACACTGGGCAAACCCAGGCGGGGATGGTAACTTCACCAAATATAGACCTCCCAACAATAAGTCCTAGCAACCCTGACAGCAATGTCTTAATAGGTATTCCGGAGGTGACAATGACTTATAAAAAGTCCATACTGGGTTTTATGGTGTGAATGTCAAAATGTGTAACATTGTATATGACAGTTATTGCAAATGTTCTAGTACTGTATGCCATACGGAAAGTGTATGTACCCCCAACTCCCTTTTCTTTTTTTCTGTACCCCTACAACATACTTCTAAGAAAATGTTTACTGCTAGTAATACTTTCAGGGTCCTTATAAATACCTCAAGCAAGGTATTTAAAATGTTCCATTCACTGTGTCACATATACTATATGCAGAACAATACAATTTTTGCTTTCACACATTTCAGACCCTGTTAAAATATTGCAAGATATGGGACATAGAACACTGTCCAAAGCTTTTCATTTTCCAAATTTTTTTTATTAAGGCTGAGCAATAGAAAAATAACATTGTGTAAGTTTACATAAATAAAATTTGTAGATTTGTCTACAAAGAAATACATAAACACAGTTGATGTTTATGTACTGGCTATGCATCCCTTACTTCAAATAAGTGTTTAGATAGTATTTTTTTCATTCAAAAAGTGCTTGAAGTGGCCCGAGCATCAAGTGGCGCGGGCGCTGTAGGCGGCAGGCATGGTTGGGCAAGTGCCTACTCCCGGTGCCCCCTGTCTATAAAGACAATGCACGCAAGACCGAGATCCACATTACTTACTGGCATTAACTTCCATCTCCAGTTTAACTTTTACTCTCGATTTAACTTATCTCTTTCCCGCTTCTTCTCCAACCTCGACTGGCACTCGGCCAGGAATCCCCTCCCTGAGGTGGTAAATGAACTCCCGCATCGATGTATAGACCCTTAAATGTCACTCACTAGTATTACACTGGGCAAACCCAGGCTGGGATGGTAACTTCACCAAATGTAGACCTCCCAACAATAAGTCCTAGCAACCCTGACAGCAATGTCTTAATAGGTATTCCGGAGGTGACAATGACTTATAAAAAGTCCATACTGGGTTTTATGGTGTGAATGTCAAAATGTGTAACATTGTATATGACAGTTATTGCAAATGTTCTAGTACTGTATGCCATATGGAAAGTGTATGTACCCCCAACTCCCTTTTCTTTTTTTCTGTACCCCTACAACATACTTCTAAGAAAATGTTCAATAAAATATGAATTGAAAAAAAAAATGCTTGGAGGTTAATTATACCACTCAACTTCAAATCAGAAGAGCCTAACATAAAAAATGTTTGTTCAGCTAAAATGATGTAATCCCTAGTTAATGAATAGCAAGCTTGCTTTATTTTAGGTGACACCATTTTATTGAAGCTGATCCTTGCACTAACACTGCAACAGGTAACTTTGATATAGCAGACACTGCTATATTAATGGCACTCTTAGAGCTTGAGTACCACAGAAGGCGGATTATCTGCATTATTTTTACTCTACAACTGTCTGTTATATTTTTGACCAAATGTTACTTTTTCATTTTATTTGTTTTTTTAAAGCTTATAAGGACTGAGGTAACATTTATAGATTAGTGGGACATCCTACTGTAATATTGCCTTTCAAGATTCCAGTGTTAATCCATGACTTGCCCTTTCACAGTTTTTTCTTTAAAACACATTTAGTGGGATATAAAGCTTACACACATGTACCTTTTCAAAGGTCAGCTAAAAACAAAAAAAGACGACAAAGTGATTTTATAAGTATAAAGTGTTTTTTTAAGTATAAAGCTATTGAACTGATATGATTGACACTAAACTAGTACACGGTTCACCTTTAAAAGAATAAAATGTTGTCAGGATGGTCCGAAAGTCTGAATGTCTGGATCAGGGGTCCTCAAACTCCGGCCCCCCAGATGTTGCTGAACTACAACTCCCATGAATCTTTGGCTATCTATGTAATTCAAAGAATCATGGGAGTTGTAGTTCAGCAACATCTAGGGTGCCAGAGTTTGAGGACCCCTGGTCATGATCATGTGAATGTCATTATTGCAAAAGATTCAGGAAAACAGCTTGGTGGGAAGAAAAGGTGGGGAAAGATATCTATTAGTTTACTGCAATGCCAAATTGTGCGTTGTCAAAATTAGATTATTACAGATTATTACATCTTCATTAAAAACAAAATAATAAAAAAGGGAACTATTAGAAAGATTTTTTTATTTTATTTTTTTGCTCTTCCTTTAGCAAGCATGGCCACTCTATAAGACTCAGCAATGCAGGTTGAAATCATAAAGCATTTTAAAGGAGACATCATCAGGAACTGGTTAGGTCTGGTTTCTGCTGAACAGTACGGCCGAAATTCAGACCTGAATGTATACAAGCCATGCCCGGAATCTTCAATCTGGCACTGGATTTTCAAAATACAAGCTATATTTCCACTGGCAGCCAGCTGGTAAATAGTTAATAAGCCCTTGGCACTTTGAGAATTAACAATGTGGCAGCTAGTCAGTGTTTGCTAAGCCAGACATAAAATTAAAGTATATAAAAAATTAAAATAGATGTAAAAAAAGCTTTTGCGGATCCTCATATTAACATAAGGGAGGTTACAAACCTCCCTTTCAGCCTCAACCTGCCATGCCAAGAGTGGGGGCATATATACTAAACAATGAGCAAGCAGTGGCAGTGGGTGTCCTAATCATAATACAAGACGGGGCTTATGTCTGCCACACACCAATCAATTCTACGTATCTGCCTTGAAACCCTATTCTGAGCAGAGCCCAGTGGCTCAGTTGTAGATTTTTTTATTACTGTATTGTGTTTTAAATTTTTTCATCTTTGTTTTTTTATTTGCAAATTTGACCTTCTTTGTTTGTGTTGGGTTGTTGTGGATTTTATTTTGATTTTGGGGAGGGAAGCTGAAGTAGTAAGAATTAAAAAAAAAGACATTTGATGCAAACTGGGTTGCAACTTAATGGTAATATGGAAGGGTGGACAAGGGATTTCTCCTTAGATACACAACCTGTTGAAATACTTAATAGAATTCCACACAGAGAATTCTGAATCTTTATAGTAAATACTGTAAAGAACCCTTTCCTTTGCTGTAAGCAAAGATGTCTTTCATCCAGTCTCAATGGATGTATGTTGTACATTCCTGTTAATGAACAGGTTAGCACATAGCATTTTGAATTGACCCTGCATATATTTGTATAATGTTATCATATTCCTTCTGTGGCACCTTTTTTTTTTCTAAAGAATACAAAGACAGTTTTTCTATTTATTCTTCATAACTAATGTTTTCCATCCCGCCTCTGCACTTTTTCTAGTTTTGCAATATCCCTCTTTAAAACAGGTGCCCACATTTACACCACATATTCAAGGTGGGGTCTTACCACTGAGTTATAAAGGGGCCAACACACTATATAGTGGATGCAGAGTGTGTATAGTGGATGCAGAGTGTATGTATAGTGGATGCAGTGTGTGTGTACTGTGGTTGAAGAATGTATGTGTGTATGTAGTGGATACAGTCTGTGTATAGTGGATGAAATGTGTGTGTGTGTGTGTGTGTGTGTGTGTGTAGTGTATGCAGAGTGTGTATGTGGATTTGTAGGGTACACTCTGCATACACTACACACACATGTTAAATTTTAGTTTTATATATATAATGTTTATTCCCCCCTCTCTGCCTCATACCTTGGGCCATAGAGGGGGTCACTAAATTACCTGGTGGTTTGTTCCTTGTATAGCAGGTTCTTTCACAAGCCCAAGCATTTGGTTACCCGCGACAACATTCTGACATCCGGAAGGTGGAAGATGTAGTCTCCAGGGTCGGAACTCACAAGAGAATGAGAGGACTTCCCGAAGGTTGAAGTAGTCTCCAGGGTCCCTATTCACTATGCAAGACAGCAATGACCCTGGGATGCCTGGGTGTGTATACATATATAGTTGTACTTGCTATATACATATATGCACATTGGGGATATATTTATATCAGCTGTACTCCCTGTTGGCAACCTTCTTCTTGCTCAGCCCAGTTATGCTTCCTTTCCTTTAAGCTCTATACTCATCCTAACTGGCCATTTGTGTCACAATTAATCTGGGATGAATGATAATATATTTATTTATTTATTTATTTATAAAATATTTTACCAGGATGGATACATTGAGATTTCTCACGTTTTCAAGTATGTCCTTGAATTGTATGTGTTTCCACTATTATATTGTATTTTATGTGTTTCCGCTATTTACACATATGATCACTGGTGAAAAATTCACTTGGAATTGCTAACATTAAATTAAATGCTATAATTTATGGTTTCTATCCAATAAATAGCTATGTAACTGTCTTCAAAATGTTTACATAGAAACTCATCTTAAAATGTTATAGTCATTTTGCAAATTGTTGTCATCCCACTGTAACTAACAGTTTATTTAAGAGCCCTCCTGAACTTGTCTTTGACATTTCTCTCACTGAATTAAATATATCATTTTTCAATTGTTACTTCCAATTGTGCATCAGTAGAGTTGAAAAATGATGTTGCTTCAAAGCAGATCTAATGCTATGTGTAATTTCTTTGTGTAAAATATATACAGGTAATATTTTTATAGACAACCATCTATGTGACAGAACAGCTTTACCATTAAATAGTATTATTTTACTTATAACACAAGTGAATTAACAAGTACATAGAGTCTGAGTTTCACACCACACTAATAGTGGCCATTTATGTCATGTTATTTAAGGTCATTTTGCTTTTGTTACACTGATAAACTCTTACAAACTCCCTAAGGGTTGCTGTTCCTCAAACACATTAATAACTTGTTTTATTTAATGTCATTTTTCTCCAACGTTGCTTCTCACTCCACTGAACTCCACAATGCAGCCGTCGTCTGTCATGAGCCAAGGCACATATTAAAATTAAATCTATGTAAATATAATTTGTCCCCATAAAAGTAAGCTGTTCTTAATTGGTTCAACATTTCTTGCTTTTTGTATGATACTGAAAAGTGCTATTATTTTTATGGTTTAAAAAAGGTGCAGTATACATGTGAAGAACTCCCTTAGTGTTAACTCTCAGACTTTGCCCCAAATTAACTACGGTCCCCTAGCTCCATACCTTCCTTCCTTGAATTAACCTGAAGCGTTCTCCTATTGGCAGCCGTTCTGCAACAAGCTACAACCGAATGGCCCAGCGGCACTTAGCCATCAGTACCCTGGAACAAAAATCAGCCACTCCACCCTAACTTTACCAGTCCTCATTTTTACCTCTCCGGGCTAGACAGGAGAGCACTAATTGGAGGAAGGATACCACACACTATGATGAGTAATCTCTCCCAGAGAGCCAGGGGGAACACCCATTTGTTTGTGTGCAGGAGCGCCCGACAATTGACCAACTGCAAGGACAATTCCCATAGAACTATTTTGGGCTTTGCCTTGACAGATGCCTTGTCAGCCTCTTGTCCTGGTGAGCCCTGGAGGTGGCCAGCTGGCCAACTTGGGGTTCCCCTGAGGCTTGCATCTGCTGATGTTGAAGGCAGGCTGCGAGGGAGCACTGTCCCCTGAGCTCTTCCTGCTCAGCTCCCTGCGCCCCGCAGTGATGCCAGAGCATGACTTAACTCTGGCCACGGCATCACTAAGAGGCGTGCGAGGTAGCTGAGTAGGTGGGTTAAAGGTGCCTCACTGCCTCGCTGCCTGCCAGCCGAGCTGCAGCCAGCTCCACTGAACCCCAGTGATGAAACCACTCCAGCACTCCCAAAGGTAGGGAGGCTGGGTGAATTAACTTTAATAATATTAGTTTTTAATTGTGAGTGTGTTAGTCTGTGTGTCTGTTAGTGAATGTGTTAGTGTGTGTGTGTCTTTTAGTGAGTGTGTATGTGTTTGTCAGTAAGAGTGCATATGTGCTTGTCAGTGAGTGTGTCTGTCAGTGTGTGTATCTGCCACTGAGAGTGTGTGTCTGTCGGTGTGTGTTAGCATGTCTGTCAGTGATTGTGTATGTCTGTTCATTATTATGTATGTCAGGTATGTCTATCTGCTAGTGTACAGTGAAGAAAAAATGTATTTGATCTCCTGCTGATTTTGAATGTTTGCCTACTGACAAAGAAATGATCAGTCTAATTTTAATGGTAGGTGTATTTTAACAGTGAGACACAGAATAACAAAAAAATAAATAAAAGCAGAAAAACGCATGTCAAAAAAGTTATAAATTGATTTGCATGTCAATGAGTGAAATAAGTATTTGACTCCTTCGATTTAGTACTTGGTGGCAAAACCCTTGTTGGCATTCACGTGGTCAGATGTTTCTTGTAGTTGGCCATCAGGTTTGCACACATCTCAGGAGGGATTTTGTCCCACTCCTCTTTGCAGATCCTCTCCAAGTCATTAAGTTTTCAAGGCTGACGTTTGGCAACTCGAATCTTCAGCTCCCTTCACAGATTTTCTGTGGGATTAGGGCCTGGAGACTGCCTAGGCAACTCCAGGACCTTAATGTGCTTCTTCTTGATCCACTCCTTTGTTGCATTGGCTGTGTTTTTTTGGGTCATTGTCATACTGGAATACCCATCCACAACCCATTTACAATGCCCTGCCTGAGGGAAGGAGGTTTTTAAACATGATTTGATGGTACATGGCCCGTCCATCGTCCCTTTGATGCTGTGCAGTTGTCCTGTCCCCTTAGCAGAAAAACACCCCCAAAGCATAGTGTGTTGGCAATTGTTTTCTTGTTTTCAAGTCATTAAAAAAAACAGTTTTTGGCACAAATACACAAGAATTTAAAACTATGCCAGCGTTCCCAACTTAGCATGCAAATGAGCACAGACAGTTATTGTGTTTCAGACTTCACACTGTGTTTCTGCAGATAACCTTAACAATATACACTCTTCTAAATACAGTTAAAACCAAAAGTATCAGTGACCAGAAACCAGCCATGAACTAGAGATTTACATTACGAGTCTCATCAGCATGGCACTGGTTCTGGTCTGAAAGTTTAAGTCTCTCTGAGAACATATAGCTAGGTACCAAAACATTCACTTTTAATATATTAAATATATTTTAATTCCCTTTTTTAGCTTTATTTCAATGCAAGATTTTTAGAAGTTATTTTATCATGGTCCTATTATGATTTTTTTTTTTTTATTATTTTTTTTTAATTCTTTATTTTTATTGTGCACAGTATAACAGATCGTCCTGCCTTGTCACAATAACATAAGCAGGAACTTGCAGAATCCATAATGAAACAGGTTACATGAAAGTTTGAACATTTAAAGCAATTGCTGTGTTTCATTTTGCTGAGTCGGCACATTTTATAGTAAGATTAATATACATTTGAGGCAGCCACACACATTATGACTAAGTTACAGGTGTAAAATGCAATTAGAATGATGCAGTATGGAAAAGTCATGCTAATAGTGCTAATTTAACATGCTAGTTTTGCATTGCTTGAGGTACAGGCACAATTCGGTATTAACCCTTTCAATAATAACAGGCTGAACATAACTTATGAGGTGCTACTATGAGGCTAATCTATACATAGGTTTATAGTTACAATGCTGTAGGTTATTGCTGTGTGGTGAATGCTTAAACTTTCGCGTCTGTATGAGAGACATGGTGGGAGCCCAGCTGTGTACTTTGGCATACGAGTGGTGACAAAGAGGGTCAGAACATGGCGCAGGCACCAGGTTACTGGGGAGGCAAGAAACAAAACCGCTGAGCGCTTACTGTGTATATGATACTCGTCTCACATTTTAAATTTAAATACATAGCATTGCTTTTCTGTGAGATTCCAACATTTATGCTTATGCTATGTTTATATCTGCTTAGATTCTCGCTATAATAAAAGAAAAATCAAGGTGAGCCTGACAGGCGAGACGAGTCAGAGGAGAGACACAGAATGAGGGGTATACAATAGCATTAGGTTACCAACTTTGTGGGTCAGACTCAGCTGCAGGCAAAACATTGCAGTTCGTGGGTGAGTTGTTTGAGGCATGTAAACTGCTGGTTGTGTTAGTGTAGTAAGAGAGTCAGTTTGTAGGTGAAGTATAGTCAGCAGGGCTCTCTGTTGCTGCCGTTCCATAGCCCCCATTTACCCTATGCCTTGCTTCAACAGAGCATAGTCCCTATTGCGGCCGGTGTGTGCCCGGTTTTGAGTGACCAGTAAGGGGCCATGCGTTTCAGTGTCCCGAATCAAGGCTCTCCTTGTCTTGTTGGGCTCGATGCAGGGCTGCGGTTTGCTCCTGGTTGGTGCCCACCTCCGTGCTGCAGAGGGTTTCAGAGGCCTTTGCTGTTTGCGTGCCCTCCAAGCCGGGTCCTTCATTGCGGGTTCTTGCTGCTGCATATTCCTAAGCTTGGGAGGGGCACTGTGTATGGTCCGCCACCTAAGTAGAGCTTCTTCTCCTGATAGCGTTGCTGACTTTAGGGTGTTTAGGTTCTGCGGTGTTCTTCTCTTCGTTACCCTGCATGGGTAAGGTGCCTGCCCGTTTCTCCGCCGCTTTCTTGCAGTTTTGGGTCTCTTCGGGTATGCCGACTTTCGCTGTGGGTCGGGCAGTGAATGGCATGGTGAGGAGCTTAAGGTTGATGTCTGCTGGATTCCCTGTTGCAGTCTGCATTCCAGCTTCCACCAGAAATTTATGAATATTTGCTCCAAGCTGGACACAGGGGCTCGTTGTTCCACCTGGCTGCTGACAAGCCGCGTGGTCGCCGCCATCTTTGGCGAGTCTCTTGGCCCTCTTTGTGCCTGCCATGGCTGGGAGGACTCCCAGTAGTGGACCGGGATCACCCCCACCGGTCCATAGGGGGGGTTGCGGGGTACTCGCGTGTGGCGCTCAGCTCTCGGGCCGCTCCAGACTGGGAACTCGGCCGCCGCTCCCCGCCATTGCGCTCCCGGCCGCATGCCTCCGCGGGTAAAGCCTGTTGCCTGTTGTCCGTTCACGGTCCGCATTACCGGTTCACCGTGTGGACTGAGTACCAGGTCGTCGCTTAAGGTTAGTGTGTGCCGTTTCATGAGGTTTGGAGGTGCCTTTTTATCGTTTTTTCTCAGCTTAGTCAGGAGCTTCAGTTAGGCACGTCTTCCCTCCATGGCAGTCAGGCCCCGCCCCCCCCTATTATGATTTTTAAATATAATTTCATTATTCCATCTATATACCCCCTTTTCCAATCTTCCTCCACACATGGAGATTGTACACTTCTCAGTCTACTTGCCTTTATACAGGTAATATGGTTCTATAAACATGGTACTTATAAAACACAAATCTACATCCGCCATACTAAATATGCACAATGCACTGAGGGCAACACATATGTAATAAGTAATGTATTAGTTGCATTTGTACTATATTGCAAAATGACATTTCACACTTTGAGGGATAAGTTCTATCAAATGATCATTTATTCAGTGTGGAACTTTTGAAATTGAATTATTATTTTGTTTGATTCATGTCTCTGTATTACTTTTACACTTTCTTCTTCCCCTGCCTGATTGAGAGACATTAGAGATTACTAATATGGGACATTGAAGCGCTTGCTTGCACCCCTGAGAGAAAGGACTGCCCACAAATCGTAAGCAACCTAGATGTGGAATGCAGGGATGCATTCCAATTAAAGGGAAACAATAAATCAGTGAACAGCAACTCTATGCGTTCCAACAGTGGAACGCAAAAGCCGAAAGCGGAAGTTCAACCCAGGAAAAAAGCGGCAATTGAGCGCATTTAAAACGACTACCACTCACACAACAGAAGACCAGCAACTGAGGAAGCCTCCTGGAGAGGCGAAATGCATTTTGCTACAAGATATACACTTTAAGGACTTACCAGCATAGACTGTAAGGTCTTTTTATTCACTTACATTTTATTGATCTTTTATTGTGCACTTTACTAATAAAGCACTTTATTATGCTTCAACTACATATCTGTGGCTGCAGTCCAAGATGATACTGACACACAGAGAAGGGAGTGGGACCTCTTATATCCCACAAAGCGAGGCACTTCAGCCTAATATATAGTGGCTCCACACTTGTGAGTGTAAATTCATCAGAATAATTTGGTATTCCAAAAAGCAGTACAAACGATATTGCACTATTATTTGTCTTTTTAAATGTTTTATTGTAGGATTTTATACATACAAAGATCTACCTCCATATGCGAATGTAAGATACTCCACCTTTTTGTATATTTAAGGTACCAAAACATGGTGAGACTAAACATAATAAAACACATAAGCATGGAAATCTTCAAAAATGCTCTTTCACTCTTCCTGTACCCCATTAAGAAGAGGTTTTGTGAACGCACCCGCTGCTTCCCTATCTCATGTCTTATTTAACTAAAGGAAAAGAAAATGTTAAACTTTCTTTCTCTTTGGGGAGAGAGGTTTAATATGTAGGGGGATGTAGATTGTAAAAAAATCCAAAAACAAGAGATGGATTATCCATTAATGGATTAATGTAAATAAAAAATATTTTACTTAACTAGCAAAGGTTAGGGAAGATACTTCATGTCATTATGTTACTAGGAGGATTGTGAAGGTCACCTAGTATCTGGGTATTTTTGCATTGCTCTAGCACCAAATGCTGGAGGGTTACTTTGATTCTTAAAGGAATCATGCACCTGATAAGGAAGAATTGTCTTGAACACCAGTTTCATCTGACATTCTACCACCGGGGTAGGCAACTTTTTAACCCCTTAAGGACCGAGGACGGTTCAGGACCGTCATCGGCATTTTTGCCTTGAGGACCGATGACGGTCCTGAACCGTCCAAACGGTCTGGGGCTACTTACCTGATCGCCGTCGTTCCCACGGCGGCGATCAGTGTTCCTCCGGTTGTGGGGAGACTGCCTGCAGCCCAGACAGTCTCCCCACGGCAGATTAGGACCCCTGTGGCCATGTGATCGCTTAACACAGCGATCACATGGTCACAATAGGTGTCCATAGTGCTGCCTGCAGGGGGACTGCCTGTACTGACAGGCAGTCTCCCTGCAACTGTAAAATCAAAAAAAAAATTAAAGTTAATGGTAATAAAAAAAATAATAATAATTATATATGTATAAATATGATATATAGACATATATTATATCTATATAATATATGTCTATATATCATATATATATAATGTCATACTAAGTGTATTTTTATATTAATATGTACTTATATTAATATAAAAATACACTTATAATTAAATTACACACGTATATATATAATATATATAATAACTATATATATTGTATATATATATTATTATAAAATATAACTAATAAGTAATTTAAATTAAATAATTTTTTTAAAAATAATAATAAAAAATTTAAAAAAATTATATAGCTATATGAAATTTTATTCTAACTGTATTTTAAAATTAATATATATATATTTATATCAAAATACACTTAGAATGAATTTGTATATATATCTATGTATATAAAAATAAATAAAAATAATAAGAAATATACATACGTCCATATACAAAATTACATAAATAATTATATAAATATACACGTAGACTTCAAATATATAAATATGCATATATATTTAAATTCTACGTGCGTATTTATGTAATATTTTTACATAATTCAGTAATTTTATTGATTGCAATTTGAGGGACCTGCCTGCCAACCCAGGCCGAAATTCCAGAGAATTTAATTTGCTAGCACTGTATTTTACCCTGTAACGTTCTACGACACCCTAAAACCTGTACATGGGGGGTACTGTTTTACTCGGGAGACTTCGCTGAACACAAATATTAGTGATTCAAAACAGTAAAACATATCACAGCGATGATATTGTCAGTGAAAGTTACTTTTTTTGCATTTTTCACACACAAACAGCACTTTTACTGATGATATAATTGTTGTGATACGTTTTCCAGTTTTTAAACACTAATATTTGTGTTCAGCGATGTCTCCCGAGTAAAACAGTACCCCCCATGTACAGGTTTTATAGCATTTTTGAACGTTACAAGGTCAAATATATGGGTCAAATATTTTTACATTGAAAATGGCCAGGTTGGTTACGTTGCCTTTGAGAGCGTATGGTAGCCCAGGAATGAGAATTACCCCCATGATGGCATACCATTTGCAAAAGAAGACAACCCAAGGTATTGCAAATGGGGTATGTCCAGTCTTTTTTAGTAACCACTTGGTCACAAACACTGGCCAAAATTAGCGTTCAATTTAGTTTTTTTACTTTTTTCACACACAAACAAATATGAATGCTTACTTTGGCCAGTGTTTTCGACTAAGTGGCTACTAAAAAAGACTGGACATACCCCATATTGAATACCCTGGGTTGTCTACTTTAAAAAAAATATGTACATGTGGGGTGTTATTCAGAGATTTATGACAGATAATAGTGTTACAATGTCACTATTGATAAATTTTAAAAATGTATGTTTTGAAACCGCAATATCCTACTTGTACCTATAGCCCTATAACATGCAAAAAAAAGCAAAAAAGCACGTAAACACTAGGTATTTTTAAACTCAGGACAAAATTTTGAATCTATTTAGCAGTTTTTTTCATTCGCTTTTGTAGATGAGTAAAAGATTTTTCAAGTAAAAGTCAAAAAACATGTATTTTTTTCAATTTTTCATCAGATTTTTGTATTTTTTTAAAATTAAAATACATGAGATTATATAAATAATGGTATGTAAAGAAAGCCCCTTTTGTCCTGAAAAAAACAATATATAATTTGTATGGGAACAGTAAATGAGAAAGCGGAAAATTACAGCCAAACACAAACACCACAAAAGTGTAAAAATATTCCTGGTCGCAAATGTACAACATCGCAAAAACAGTCCAGTCCTTAAGGGGTTAATAGTACTATGCCAAAAAAGATCTTTAAGTGCCTTGCCATACTGGTACTATTTTTTTTATTCAGAGGTATCCTGCTTTTATTTACGAGTGCTGCAGTGGCTTTGTAACATTGTATTTGTGTGTATGTGTGCTCTTTTATTGTACAGTATACATTCATGAGTTGTTTGTGGTATTGTATATGATACCTATGAATGTGGGATGTGTATGGGGGTTGCTTGTGGAATTTGTGTCTGGATGATATGTCACATTGTGTGTTTGGTGTGTGTATGTGTGGGGCTGCTTGTGGTATTACATGTGAAATGCTGCTTCTGGGGTTGTGTGCATGTATGTGGTTTGTCAGTGGTGTTGTGTTTGTGGGGATGGTGAGTGTGTTTCTGTATGGGCTGTTTGTATTATTTGTATGAGGGGGGCTTACTCTGCAGGCTGGCCAGTTACAGATCAAGGGAAGGAACTGTGATAACTTCTGCGGGCTGCAATTACTTGGTTTGCAGTAGCAGATATCTGAACTCCCATTGGGACTCCTGATAGGCCGGAGTCTTTCTCCTTGGAGCCTATTTGTCTCTGGCAGCCCTGAGTGCCATGCAAAAGTACCTCTAATGCCATGCACGGAACACGTGCCATAGGTTGCTGACCCCTGCTCTAGCCTCTCACTGGCTTCCCAATACAAGTAACAATATATTTCCTTTGAATATTTGTCAGAGCTAAGGTATTAAGATGCTCAAGTTTCACTTCCCTTCCTTAAAATATTAGCTCTGCAATTGCCCCAACTTATGACAAGACTCTTACAATCTAGACATGAATTACATAATTGGTGTACACACATTTCCTTTAATTTGAAAATAAGACCCATAAAAAATGTATAACTAAAAAAAAAACACTTTTAATAAATGATGTATATTATTCAGACGGCATTTACTTGCTATAACATGGAATTGGTATCCTTAA